ATTGACAAGTTTTATCTGCATGGTCCAGAAATTTAAAGATTTCCACCATGCCAATAAAAAACATAATTGCTGGCAAAATCAAAAATTGTGGCTTGCAGTTTTTTAATTAGTTTATCTAAAACAATCGTTAATAAAACATAAATCAAATGTGAACATTAAATTTTAATATTTCAGTTATAGCAAGTAAATACAGAATACTGGGTACAGTGATATAAAATAAAGTTTACATCCAAAGCTTCTAAACCAGATAAAAATATTGTAAATCTTTCCCTTACAGTCTTACAAATATAGAAGAAATAACGTTAGGCTATGGCCTCACATTTTCTTTCGAAAATGCTGATCTTGACCTTTATTTGATATCAGATGTTGTTAAATCAGCAAAGGACAATAATGATGATTTGAACTTTTTAACTGTATGTCTAATCACTTCACTTTTTTACAATAGTAATGAAGACTTTGTGATTCCTTAATGTTTCAAAAAATTATTAAGAAAATTGAAAAATAATAAGGATATTTTAGTAACTAAATCTGGCAAAACAAGTTGTCATCATGGATAAATGTACTTACAATGAAAAAACTAAACAATTTATTGCAGGATGAAAACACTTGTGAAAAACTTGGGAAGGCATCTGATTTTGACAAGTCTCTCCAAATATTTTTATCTGATTAATCAGATCTTTTAAAAAATCTTTAAATGGATCAATCCTTCTCTGCTGTATATGTATGGAATACCTAAAACCCACAAAGATGACTACCATCTTAGACCTATAGTTTCCAATGTAGGATCAGTTACCCATCATCTATCCAAATGGCTGGCACAACACTTATCTCCTGCTCTAAGAAAGTTCTCATTATCACACATTCTAAATAATATAGATTTTGCCAGTAAAATAAAAAACTGTAACATAAATGAAGGAAAACTGGTCAGTTTTAACATTGATTCTTCATTTCCAAATGTACCAACTGACGAAACCACAGACTTCCTATAAAGAAGTTACCTGAACTTAACATTCCTCTTCCTGTGCTGTTTCACACTTTCATCTCCTTGTGGAAATATGTGTTGATGATAATGTATTCACATGAATGGGACAATATTAGAGACAGAAATATGGAATGGCTATGGGAAACCCTTTAATCCAAATTTTATGTAACATATTCATGAAGTATTTAGAAAGTGAATTACTTCCTACAGCGAATCTGAATTCAAAGAAAATCTCTTGGTTCTGATACACTGATGACATATTTTTGGTTTAGCCACATACTAGAAATGATTTTCAAGCCTTGTTTCAGAGGACAAACAAGCTTCACAGTACTGTCAACTTTCATGTGGAATGGGAAATGAATAATTCACTCCCATTTTTAGATATTCTCATGACGAGAGAAATAACAAAGTCTGTCCTTTCAATCTATAGAAAACCAACAAACCGGTTAAGCTATATTCATTTCTTCTTACGCCACCATAAAACAGTAAAAATGACTTCCATGTTCCTAAGAGTCTTTAGAATATGTCATCATACTACCAGCTACTATGGGTTTTATTAAAAATGCCCTAAGGCAAGGAAGACATTTTATAGGAACAATAGCCAGCAAACAGCATCATTTACATATGAAACTAAGAAGAAAATACTCAGTGTCAACTACAGTTCTAATATTGTGGCTCTAGAGAAATGTCTCAAAAACAACAATTTCAAAGTTGTTTATAAATATCCCAACAACCATTAAGAACTTCCTACCCTCAAACATGTTTGCACTTCAAAATAAAAAACAAAAAGTCTATATAGTCCCCTTTAAGTCTTGTGACAAAGTTTATGTGGGTAAAAGTGGTACAAAATTAGATGCAAGACTCACAGAAAATAAAAGGGATGTTAAAAATGGTCATACAAATAATGCTATTTCTCTTCACATGAGAACCTTGATCATATAATTAATTGGAAATCACCAAAATGATACATAAAACTAGAAATTATGTCAAAGAAGAACTGTAGAAAGTTCATTAGTTCAAAAATTGCCAAACTTCAACATTTCCAAAGGTCACTATAAACTGAACCCCTTAATAACATCATATGCCCTCAAGAGACTGTATGTGTTTCTCTCACAAAGAAAGGTTGGACTGAAGAGGATATGTGAAAGTGTCAAAACATCTTTCCATATAAACTTCTTATTCTAGCATTTGTGGATGTAAATTTTATTTTGTTGATAATTTGAATGGACCACACAGAATTTTGCAAAAAAATCATAATTTTGCACCTGTAACAACAAGAGATAAACAAGCTGGAAAGGATTAATATAACATAATTAAACAATTATATTAGGAGGCCATATAAGAAAAACATATATATGATGTTACTTTTAATTGGAAATTAATATGGCAAATATAGTATGCAGAAATGTTTTCACGGTCCTGTTTCCTGATAGACATTTCGTGTGATGTAAAATACATGGTTGAATCAATGTATGTACTATTAGCAAAGAAGTAACTTAATGCTGATTATTGAGGGCTCATTGCCTGCTAAGTACTGTATAAACAATAAATACTAAAAAGACACAAAAGAATTAACATATACACACACACACACACACATATATATATATATATATATATGTGTATATGTTAATTGAAAGTACACCTCACAGGTACGTCTACACTACATAGTTCTAAATGAAATAAGTTTTTTTGGTTTCTAGAAACTCACATTTTTACTTAAGCTTACAATAAACAATAATTGTGGCTATACACACAACAATTTAATTTGGCTGATATATATTTTTTTGAATAATCACTAAAAGCTACATGAGGACTATGTATGCTAGTTGTTACCAATTTGGAACTGACAGACTAGATGAAAGGCTGCTAGTGAACACTACCCACTGCACATTCTTGGGCTACTCTTATCAAAAAGTGAGATTTGACTATCACTTTTATAACTCACCCACAGTCCCAAAGTGAGGAACACAATTTTGCAGCAACAGGATACAAACAATGAATCCTTCAAATTCACAGTCCAGCATGCTGACCACAAGGCCATGCCTAGCCCAATTTGGTTCTTACAGCTTCTGTCTTAGGGACTTTTACAATGACTTACGACAATATCTGTGGGTGTCAACTCCCTTCTAAGCCATTACTAAGTGACGTACACAGTACAACTTGGTAAACAAGAGTAAATATGTTCATAATTGGTAGTTGTTATAATGATTTAATCTCCTGCCAGCAAACAACTTGAAAGCATGTTCATTATGACACCACCACTTTTAATTTTATTAAGAAATATCTAGTGAATGCACTAAACTCAACATGTGAGACAGCAAATTCTATATTTTGTTTTATGATTATGGTTGCGTTTATCATTTATTTATTATTTTTTCTATTGTTTAGTTTATCTATGAATTTTTAGTTGCATTAAAATGCTAACTCACCTTCTACATAATCATTTGTTTTTGGAGTAAGTATATGTATGTGTGTATGATGAAACTAACACCAGCTTCCCTAGAGATGATGTATAGATATGAAGCAGAAGAGTATGTAAATTTATGATCAGATGAGGTTGCACTCTCGTGACTATTCTGTGAATAAACACCCTGCCAGAAGCTTCACTAAGAGAGGGAGTCATGAGATAGTTATTGAATGTTATAGTTATTGCTGTTTGTCACTCAATATTGATATTGAAAGGTATTGTTGGAATATTGTATTTGTTGTATTTCTTTCTTTTTTTTGGAATGAGGTTTATTCTTTCTGATTTTTTTGTCCTGATTCCATTATTATTGATTTATTAATATTTATAAATTGTTTATTAAGATTGGTGTGAAGCCCTGGCCAGGCATTTATATATTAACTGTGTTGAATTTATTTCTAAGTGTTATTATTGTGAATAAATTGTGTTTTTGTTGTTGAACCCTGATTGTAGCAGCATGTTCATTTTAGACCATTACAGACATAATGTAAAAAACTGTTGTATATAAAATTAAAACTCTTCAAAACTATATTCAATAATAAATGCCACTATAACACAGAGAAAAGTAACAAGGCAGCCTTGTGAAGGTAACATCAGTAACACTTGTACACATGAGTTAAAAGCTATTTCTACTAAGATAATTTTGTTCAATATTATGGTTACATAAAATAATGCATGGTTTGTATCATTACATATTAAAACTGCCTTAAAAAAATATTTAATAAACTTTTCCACAGCAAAACTTTTTGGGTATATTTGGCTCATTTTGACTAAATGTATTAAAGTCCTTATGTGGACTGTGGGAAATTAGTTTCATCATCATTTTGTTTAGATTTATACAATTAAGTATTATAAGCTTATAATAAATTATTTAACAAATTAAATTTCATCACTTTTTTAAAAGCTATATTAATATTTCATAGGTCAATATGACCACAGCATATATGAAAATGTTTAATTATAAACAAAAAGTGTTAAGTTTCTAATTATGGCAAACTGGCAGTGAACTGTAAAATTGACACCAAGCCAATTTGATCTGTTAATACAGTGCTACATTTTTTCTTTTGTGTAACAAGCATATTAACTTGAACTTTTTACATACCATTTTGATGAAAATTTTTTCTTAAGTAAATGAAATACATCATGTCTTTTTCTATTCTTGTCACTGATCTCAAACTGGACACTGACTAAATAGAAGCTGACATAGTCATATTAAAATTTGATGACGAGGAACCCACTTTGAGACTAATAATGATTGGAGACAGCTTGAATGGGTAATGAAGAAAAACTTTAATTTAAGTTTAACATAACAGCAAATGTACAACGTTTCGACAAGGTTTTATCATCATCATGATGACAAAACCTTGTTGAAACGTTGTACATTTGGTGTTATGTTAAGCTTATACTAAAGTTTTTCTTCATTACCCATTCAAGCCATCTCCAACCATTAATAGTCATATTACCTTATCTATAATTATGCACTTAAAATGAAATGATTTTTTCAAGTTCTATCACATTTATTAGTTGTAAATATACTCTATATAATCATACTTGTGTAACAATTGAGTCAAGGCCTCCTCTTCCCCAAGCATAGTCCCCTGGGTTTCCATGAAGATTTAGAATACTGGATAAATGAGCAAATATATGAAGCTTACAATTAACAAAAAAAAACTAAAAATCAAAGATCTGTTTCAGAAAATAACCACTTTACTAGGTATAATTAAGCAAATAGGTAATGTTGACACAAATATAATGATATATGAGACCCGTATACAATATTAAAAGTAAGACAAGAATTTTGGTTTTTCAGATTACAAGAACTGCAACAAGAGTTACTATTCAGTAGCAGGAAGTTTTAACTCACACTATTTCTTTCATAAGAACTTACAAATGCTATTTCCAACAGTGAAGTTGACTATTTACAATTATTAACAAATTGATAGCATGATTAGGAAGTTTTAAGTCATGTATCTTTTAATATAAATGCCATACAAAAATAAACCCACTAAATTAATATATTAACCAGCGACATATGAAATGTTTTCTGAACTATTGTTCTCTGCAGTAAATCATAAAAAAACACTGACCTTCTAATTAACTCTTTCATGTTACAAAAAGCAACGTTATCATTGAATAAATGCTTTATTTGACAGGACAAGCATACTTTTGGACCCTTACTTCAATTTATTACATTACATTTACAGCATAAGATGTAATAAGGAAAAAAAAAAGACTATCAGATCTTGATAAACCATATTAAAAAAATCAATTACACTTTACAGTCTGAACAACTTAGGCAACACTTTTCTCAGTAAAGTAATAATAATAATAACAAAAAAGTGATAACATGTACTGTGTTCAAAGTTAACATTTTGCTTACTTGAAAATATATTTCAGATAGATACTCACCTCTCTGTATGTCACAAACCTTGAACAACTCTTCCACACCTGCAGGTAATAGCATGTATTGTGCCAGCCTATGATGTAATCATCAGACTATAGACCTCCACCAAAAGAAGGTTGACACATCCTCCATATGCAATAATGCCCGTGAGCCCTAGCCCTTGAACAAATGTTCATTCTCAACAAGGCAAAATAAATACACCAACAGTAGGGAAGAAGGTTGAGAGGTTGTGCTAAGAGGTAAGAATCTATAATACATTTTCGAGTAAGGAAAATGTTAAATTCAGAAACTATCCTCTCTCCTAGGCCCTGCAAGGCTTCAAGAATCAATTTATTTGTGAATTGGGATTGAGGATTCAATTCAATTCCTTAGCTGGGGCTCCAATTTGACATCATTTCCCACATCTCAAAATTAATGAGGCTCCATTCGTTTTTGGCCACCAAAAATTCCAGCAGACTATCCAAAAGGTGTGTAACCACTAAAAAATTGCCCATGAAAATCTAAATTTAAGTGATTATTTCCCCTTAAAGATAAATAATCTTTATCTCATGAAACAAGTATGAGAAAAACAAAATTATTCTGACAATTATTTGCAATGTTGTTCTCAAAATCAAGTCAATTTCTCATCGTTATCTGAAGGGTTGAATGGATCGGCACAATGATGCACTCAGACTGAGATCTCAGAGGGCTCTGAACTGAATCAGTGTATTTACCAGTGCAGTGGAAGTAGATGCTATGCATAGAACAAACAAAAACAAAACTTCAGCTGCATGCTGAGCTGTATGTGTGGACCCTGGCCCCTACTTCAGGCTCTGAAAGGCTGCATGTACATTCTAATTTTCTCAGGTAAAAGGTGTATATTTTGCAAGGTCATCTAAGTTCCCCCAAAAAGTTGCAAACAAGGATATTTGAAGCCCCGTTCCCAAGGAGCTGAACAAAGGGGTCTTGAAATTATTACAATCCTTTCATAAGGGAGTAAATTCTTTTAATTCCCTAGAAAAGGGGGGGGGGGTAAATAACTTGAAAAAGCCCACAAAAAAGGGATAAAAAAACCTGTGGTTTCTCTATGGAAAACGATTGTTCTGGAAGTACAAGCATACATGTAGGTACCACTGGCCTCTAAATTAGGTGTATGTGTGGTGGGGATAAAGCAAGATTTCGAATTTTTTTCTGGTGGTAAAAAAAAATCAATAAAAGGCACATGGATCCAATGATATTCATGGTGGGGCACAGCCTGGAAGATGAAGACTATAGATATGACAAAAATAAAGAAAAAGAAATATGGTATTAATGCAACAAAAAAAAAAAAGAAATGAAATCACACTGTGCTAACTACTTTTCACATCTGTTGGCTGGACCATGATAAATCAGCCAAATGGAGTCCTGAATTATGTTGATCATTGGAGCATTATTAGCCAATGATTACCCTCATTTATGACATGGGATGTCACTCTTGGTCTTTGTTTATCCTGTGGTCTTTCAGTGTGGACAATACCTTGAGATGGTGTTTGCTATGATTATGTAATTGAATTGAATGGAGGGAGAAAGATGTGATAGATGAAAGAATGTCTTGAGTAAACAGAAAAATTGTGTGGGCCCACCGTTTTGTGCTGAAAATTTAAAGTTCTCTTGATGATGAGTTGGATGTTGTGTATAAATGTGATGAAGGGTGATGAAAATGATGGCAGATGAGTAGCAATAGAGATTAATGAAATTTGACCAAATTGTTTATGGAGCATAAAGGGTAATTGTTTCATATTGTGAAGAGTGTTTGACTTAATATGCAAAATTGTTCATTCGTATGACTGTCTTAGTATCGGATGAGACATTCTTAATCACATGGTGATATGTGCAAAACGTTGCAAAGCTGAGTGAGGAGATATCAAAGAGAAATCATGAGAGAAACAAGGAACAGACTAGACTCTTCAAATTGGTTTAGATCTACAAAAGACTGCAAAAAAGGAGTGAATCAAACAGAAAAAGAAGTTTCAGTAATTAAAAGAGAAGTAAACAATTTCCAACCATTAACTCTTCCAACATATATTGTAAACATTTCAAGTGAACTATTAAGTAGCAAGCAAATGTCTATCTTAAACTCTGGTTTAAATTTTGCTGTTAAACATAGTTCTGTACCAACTGAACAAATAATTGCTACCACTGAAACATTAAAAACCTCAATTTAAATTATAGTCAAGCTGAAAAAATTAGTCAACATAGTTTCTACCCTTTCAAAATGTAAAGAGAATAAACTTAAAACTAACCCAAATAACAAAGAAATTAACAATTTAAATGAATCAACTAGAGCAGACAAAGTTGGTTGTATGGTAGTCATTAATAAATCCTATTACAGACAAGGAGTCCACACTCTACCAAATGATGGCTCATACACTTTACTAAGGAATGACCCAACTTGTTCTCACAAACATAAAAGAGCATGACCCATTCAAAAAAATTTATTTTATTCATACCCACTATCATTCCCCCATTTCTATGCTATTTCAAATATACATAAGAAGAATACACCACACAGACCTACTGTATCTAGCATGGGCTTACCTATACAAAGTGTTGCTAAATTCTTAATTAAAAAAGTTTACTTCTTTAGTAAAGGCTAATACTTTCTCTCTTAAAAATTCCAAAGACTTTGTGAACAGAATCAAAAACACTAGCCTATAAAAAGAAGACATTTTAGCATCCTTTGACATTAAATCTCTCTTCACTCCGGTACCTGTCAAATAGGCCCTAATCTGTTTAAAAGCCAAACTGGAACAAAGTAACCTTGATTCTAATGATAATCACCTAACCAGCCTAACTGAATACTGTGTTAACAACACTTACTTTACCTATGAAGGAATGTTCTACAAATAAAACAGTGGTTAAGCCATGGGATCTTCCCTTTCCCTCCTACTTAGTGACCTATAAGTGTCTTTTTTGAAGATGAACTATTTGGACATTCTTTCACACACTTACAAAAACCTGTAATTTGGCTACATTACATGGATGATATCTTTAGTACATGGCAATATGATAGAGACAGTATATCTAACTTTGTTGAATTTCTAAACAGTATAAGACTGAATATTATAACCTTTACATAAGAAATAAAAACTGCTGTCCCCCTTTAGAAATAAGTTATAAGACAAAACAAGACTATAATCATCAATGTACACAGTGTGGTCACAAGTAAATAGACACCACCTTTTCAGAAAAAATGAAATTTTTCAGTTATATTCACATGAATTGATATATTTATAATTTAATTAATATCTAGTAGATCTTCCTTTCGCTTCGTGAAGTTCGTTGATCCTTTGGGACATCATGAGAATCATCTCATCAATTTTAGATTGTGGGATTTTTGCCCAATCTTGCTTGAAAACTTGGAGTAGATCGCTCTTCGAAGTTGGTTTTTTTGGTTGTTTTTTGACTTGCTGGTCGAGTATGGCCCAGAGGTTTTCAATGGGGTTCATGTCAGGAGATTGGATCGGCC